GGGAAGATACCTTGATTTGAACAAGGATTGACTGTGCCACATACAGCTGTTCTACCATTGAACTATATCTACCTAATAGCTACAGCTAATAAATAGCTATATTGTTTTTAAAGATACCTATTATAAAGATATTATATCTTTTATATTTAGACTACCGAAATATTATAAATAAAGATGAATATTTAACATTTGCAAAAAAATCTATATAAAATTTATATTATTATAGTTTAGTAAAATAATAGTTTTTTAATAAGTTTAACTTTTTATTTATAATATAAATAAAAAAAAAAAATAAAGTAAACTATTTTAATATGATACAAACGAATAAAAATAAAAATTATAGTAAATTAATATAATACTACATAAATATATACAACACGAAAAAAAAAAAATAATCTTAATTTACAAAAAAAATAAAAAAAAAAAATAAAGCCATAGAAGTTAGCTTATATACATAGATAAAAAGCAAGTAATTATTTTAACTATTATCTGGAGGTAACTAAACCATATCTTTAAACTAAACTACGCTAGAAACTACTTGTAGCCTAATTTAAACCCATTATAGCGTGATACTTAACCAAACTTCTGGTTTACTAACCATATTTAAGCTAGTTTTAATATAACTTAAGTATATTTACTTTAAGATTAAAAAATAAATAAATGAAAATTGCATACTAATAGCTAATTAAAGATACAGGGAAAAATAGTAATGCGGATTGCAGCCGACAATCTATTAAAAACCTACCCTTTTTATCTGCTTAAACTGTTTGGTTTACATATGATGATTAAAGATTTAATTACTACCTGAGAAGTGACTTGAACACTCACGAGATATACTCAAGGCGACCTAAACACCCCCTGGCTTCCATTACAGCACTCAGGCTATGAATTAAAAAAAAAAAATTCAAATTAATGCGGTTGAATTGTATAATCTTACTACAAAATTAGTATTTTGTACTGCTAAAGTAAGAGTTAATCTATAACTAGATAATAGTATATAATTTAATAAATAATTAGTTTTATATAAATTTTATTGTTATAGTATAAATATTTAACCACGCTGTATATAATTTTACTAGGGAAACTAGTATAGTGTTAATATATAATGCCTTGGAACAAGGCTCCGTTAAACTAAGTTGTAAAAAGTAAAAATTTAAAGAAAAAATTTTTAATAATAAACTATAATAGTGTAATATTAGAAGAAGAATTAAATAAAAAAATAGATAAAATATTAGATAAATGTAATAGTGGATTAGGATCAAAAATAAATAATAA